GGGGAGGAGTTGATCTTGCGAGAACTTCCGGGCGGGTGAGAATAGCCACTTTCATTTGCTTGAATGCGTTAGATCTCTAGATCTAGTAGGTGTTTTACGGCACTAGCAACATACAAGGAAGAGGCTAGCCGTACTTAATGAGTAGTGCCGAAGATTAGATTCTAGATGTGTTACAAGACTGCACTTAGACTATTAGACTTAATAGTAATAATAGCCTCCTAGACTAAACTAAACACAAAAAGGAGAGATTCACATGGACGATAGATGCTTGACCGACTAGTCTAAGACTAAGGAACAAGAAAGTGGCTATTCTCACCCGCCCGGAAGTTCTCGCAAGATCTACTCCTCCCCTCTTCTCTCTCTCTCTGTCTCTTTCTGAATACTGTCTATCGGTGTGGACGATCAATTGACCAAAACAAAGTTTAAAAATGATGTTAAAACACAAAAGTAAATTAATTTGGTTGTCTACAAAGATGCTACGGCTATTTAACTTTTCGAATTGAGCCGAACTACGCGGGTCGCCATTTTGTTTTGTTCTCTCTCTCACTCTCTCCCCTGCCCACAGCCACAGACAAAATTGTACGCTTTTAGTAGGCTACAAGTACAGTTGTAATGGAACGTTTGTTCACAGCACAGAATTCTACAATTTTTCTATTATCACAGTGTAGAATTCTGTGGTTTAGGGTGAACGCAAAATTTGTTGACACGCGCACCGGGTGAGAATAGCCACAAGACCCGCCTGCACTATTCTCACCCCGGGTGAGAATAGAGGTGGCCAAGGAACAAACCACACTAGAGTATCTAGAGCAGCATACCAACCACCAACAGATATTGTATTTTTACTTGACGTTGTTTTCAATTAAAGGCAAGACTCACGGTTTCATTGGCTAGGGATGACCACAATCTAAACAAGGCAAGGCCAACAAAAACTAAAACTAATAAAAACACTAACAACAGTAGTAACAACAGCAGGGCAGGGTCAGGGATCAGAGTCAGTAGTCAGAGAATGAGATGAACTTGCACTTAAAACGACCAAAGCCAAAATGAGTGGATTCCCTTCCGACATTCTTTTATCTAACTGCCTTCAAATGTAATCAGTGAATAAAACTTACTGAAAAACTTTGCAAAACCTCTGAGAATAATCACATTTCGTTTGACAGTTAACAATTTGCTTCACTGTAAACACTGTCCCTTCGAACTGGCCTCCATTAATCTTTAACAGCCAATCAACGCTCTGTAGTCGAGCAGTAGTATTTGAACTCTAGCGATTACAAGAGAAAGTATCGATATTATATAATACTTGGCTAGGCAAAGATCGTACGAGCCGAGGCTAGGCCTGTTTTTTGCGAAAGTGAGAGAGGCAGTTATAAAGAGAAGATTTGGTCATAATTTTTAAAATGTATTTTGTCCTTAAAATGTGGACAATAGCACTTTTTGAAAATCGTCCAGGTTGAACCCTTTGCTGGTTGAAACCTTTAAATAAACCTCTTTTTTCAAAGGCAAAGATTGTGAACGACATAAAGAAAGAGCTATTGAAACCAAAACTGTCATATAAACCACATTGCGTTGTTAATTTGGACTCTATCAAAGACACGCATAATATAAGTACAAGTATACAACTTGTATGAGCAAAAAGAAAATTAGGATTAGCCTAGGCCTAAGCACAAGACTCATAAGGCCCTAAACCTAGGCGATCATAAATCGCCCTAAACTAATCAGATTCTGTGCTTTCGATATACAGTAGTATCGATTCAAGTTATTGAAAAAACCTCGCACACGATCTTTGAGACAAGTCCGGAAGTGAATCCAGGTTTCT